GAGTATTTGCTGGATGTTAGTAGCGCAAGTAACCTCACTGCCCGAGCTAATCTATGGACATCCTCTCCTTTCTAATCCGCAGAAACCTAACCTTAGACCTACTCATTACCAGGCAGAAGGGAACAAATCCCCTTAACCCTTTTCTTGCATAAAAAGCCTACTTTAAGTTGTCTCTCACTTAAGTAGTTCCTTATTCTCAGTAACTTTCCCAGGCAATAGGGCACTCATCTCTTAGGGTCTGTCTGCAGCGACCAAGCCTGCAATTACAATGTGAATCTACAATACTCAAACGTTGATCTTCTCTTGCTGGTTACAGGATTTCTGCTGCAGCACAAGAAATATCCGGCTTTGCTTTCAATTTCAGGAAAAAAAGAGGCAAAGAAGATGAGAAAAAAGTGATTACCATGAAGCAATACAGACAGAGAAGTCCTGCAGGTTAACTTATTTCTTTGTTAGCTACCGAAATCAAAGCTGGTCTGTACCGATTTCCTAATGCATCACAGCCCACGTAGGCTGTAAAGTGGAATCTGTGTCAGAAGCACATTTAATCCTAGGATTCTCTTCAGCTAATAACCAAGCTATATATCAGAAAGACCAAAAATAATCCAGCCCAGGCTGCCTGCTTCCATTAATCAGCAAGCTAAATTCATATGCAATATCACTACTTCTTTTTATAAGAGGGTGTGTGTGCATGCTGATATATACATAAAAGTATGTAAAGGCAGATGCATTCTTTGTTTTTTAGTTCTCAACTTTGCATCAGTCAGTGAACGAAGTTAAACGTTTGAGGTTGCTACATATTTGGTAGATACACCTCCTTCGTGAAAGGCAGAAAGATTATAGAAAAACTTCCCATCTCTAGTGACATTCTCAGTTTAAGGCACAGAATCACTGTGGGAGTAAGGTCACATGAAACAAAGCTTTTTGCATGCCAAAGCTGAAGATTAAAATCATTCCTTTCTTTCGAAACATCTGAAGACAATAAACACTGACCCTGAACAGTCACAGGAGGGGGAAAAAAAAAACCAATCAAACCTGGTTTTACTGCTTACACTCCTACAAAAGGTGAAATAAATCCTGAATTCAGATCTTTGCAGATGAAAGTTATTGCCATTGATTTACTCAGCTCCTTTTCAAAGAGCAGTTCTGCTCTACAGGTTTCAGTTAAATATTTTTTGTACACAGAGTTCTGAGAGACGATTGCATGGAAAGGCTGCATCTAGCTCAAAAGATCAAGTGTTCAAATGTTGGAAGTTTCATGTTGGAATGGAAGGATAGAGGCTCTTCAGGAAGGACAAGCAGGGGAGAGGAGGCGGCGGTGTCGCCTTCTATGTCAATGACCAGCTGTACTGCGTGGAGCTCCACCTGGGCATGGACGAGGAGCCGACCAAGAATTTATGGGTCAGGATTAAAGGGAGGGCAGGGACAGGTGACATTACAGTGAGGGTCTGCTACAGGCCACCCAACCAGGAAGACTGAGCGGATAAAGCCCTCTATAGACAGATAGGAGCAGCCTCACATTCACAAGCCCTGGTCCTCATGGGGGGCTTCAACCCCCCCAATATCTGTTGGAAGGACATAAGCAATCCAGGAGGTTCCTGGAATGTGCTGATGATAACTTCTCAAAGCGGTAGAGAAACCAATAAGGAGAGGGGCCATGCTGGACCTTGTTCTCACCAACAAGAAGGGGCTGGTGGGGAACATGAAGGTCAAGGGCAGCCTTGGCTGCAGTGACCACAAGATGGTGGAGTTCAAGATCCTTAGGGCAGGCAGGAAGGTGCATAGCAAGCTCGCTACCCTAGACTTTAGGAGAGCGGACTTTGGCCTCTTCAGGGATCTGCTTGGCAGAGTACCATGGGGTAAAGCCCTGGAGGGAAGAGGGGCCCAAGAAAGCTCATTAATATTCAGGGATCACCTCCTCCAAGCTCAGGAGCGATGCATCCCAACAAAGAGGAGGTCAGACAAAAATGCCAGGAGGCCTACATGGATGAACAAGCAGCTCCTGGACAAACTTAAATAGGAAGCCTACAGATGGTGGAAGCCTGGGAAGAATACCGAGAAATTATCTGAGCAGCCAGAGATCAGGTTAGGAAAGCTAATGCCCTGATAGAATTAAATCTGGCCAGGGCCTCAAGGGCAACAAAAAAATCTTCTACAGGTACATCAGTGATAAAAGGAAGACTAGGGAAAATGTGGGCCCTCTCGAGAAAGAAATGGGAGACCTGGTCACCCAGGATATGGAGAAGGCTGAGGTACTCAATGACTTTTTGCCTCAGTCTTCACCAGCAAGTGCTCTAGTCATACCACCCAAGTCGCAGAAGGCAAAGGCAGGGACTGGGAGAATGAGGAACAGCCTACTGAAGGAGAAGATCAGGTTCAAATCATCTGATGTACCTGAAGGTGCACAAGTCCATGGGAATCTGTGGGTCCATAAGGAACTGGCAGATGAAGCTGCTAAGCCACTATCCATCATATTTGAGAAGTCGTGGCAGTCCAGTGAAGTTCCCCCTGACTAGAAAAGGGGAAACATAAGCCTGACTCTTAGAAAGGGAAAAAAGGAAGACCTAGGGAACTACAGGCCAGTCAGTCCCACCTTTGCCTGGCAAGATCATGGAGCAGATCCTCCTAGAAACTCTACTGCAGCACATGGAAAATAAAGAGGTGATTGGCAACAGGCAACATGGCTTTACTAAGGGCAAATCATGCCTGACAAATTTAGTGGCCTTCTATGATAGCACTACATCATTGGTGAATAACAGAAGAGCAACTGACATCATCTATCTGGACTTACGCAAAGCATTTGACAGTCCCGCATGACACCCTTGTCTCTGACTTGGAGACACATGGATTTGACAGATGGACCACTCAGTGGATAAGGAAGTGGCTGGATGGTCACAGTCAGAGTTGTGGTCAATGGGTCGATGTCCAAGTGGAGACCAGCGATGAGTGGCATTGCTCAGGGATTGGTACATCCCAGTGCTGTTTAACATCTTTGTTGGCAACATGGGCCCTCAACATAAGAAGGACATGGACCTGTTTGAGTGGGCCATGAAGATGATCAGAGGGCTGGAGCACCTCTCCTATGAGGACAGGCTGAGAGAGTTGGGGTTGTTCAGCCTGGAGAAGAGAAGGCTCCAGGGACAGCTTATTGTGGCCTTCCAGTACTTAAAGGGTACTGGAAAGCTACAGGAAAGCTGGGGAGGAACTTTTTACAAGGGCATGTAGTGATAGAAGAAGGGGAATGGCTTCAAACTGGAAGAGGGCAGATTTAGATTAGGCATTAGGAAGAAATTCTTTACTGTGAGGGTGGTAAAGCACTGGAACAGGTTGCCCAGAGAAGTTGTGGATGCCCCATCCCTAGAGATGTTCAAGGACAGGTTAGATGGGGCCTTCGGCAACCTGGTCTAGCGGAAGGTTTCCCTGCCCATGGCAGGGGGGTTGGAACTAGCTGATCTTTAGTGTCCCTTCTAATCCAAACCATTTTATGATTCTATGAATTCCTGCCTTATACTTCATTACACTCTTCACCCTTAGTTGCATATCTTTTTTCCCCTCCTTCTCATATTAACTTCTTTTTATAGCTTCCCTTTTATTCATATTATTGCTTCTCTCTCCTCAAATTATTCAGTGTAATTTAAAAATAAGATTTAGCTAACAAAAAATTGTTTGCAAACACCAAGTCTATTGTCTCTACATTCCATTATCTCTACAGTCTGTTGTGAGTATAGCAAGCATAACAATAGTTTTACACATCATCTTTC